GCAGGAGGATCTCGAGTTCAAAGCCAGCCTCAGCAAAAGTGAGGCCCTAAGCAGCTCAGTGAGACCCTGTCTCTAAATAAAATACAAAATAGGGCTGGGGATGGGGCTCAGGGGTCAAGGGTCCCTGAGTTCAATCCCTGGTACCAAATAAAGAAAACAAAAATGGGAATCTGAGCTAAACCTTGAAAAGAGATTTGATTGACGAAACTCAGAATAACAGAGAAAAGAGTGTTTCAAGCATGAACAACTCAGTGGTGGGCAGGGGGATCCAAGGAAGGAATTAGCAGTGTGTTGGGAGGGGGCATGGCCAAGGTTCTCACAGGACACAGAGCCCATAGGCTGGGCAGATAAATCACGGTCATCTACCGACAGCCTCAGAGAGTCCAGCTACTTCTGTAGGGCACTGGGGGCCCGGGAGGAAAGACATGAGGAACATTTTAGATGACTTTCCCCAAAATGATGTCTTCCTAAACTCCAACCCTGTCCTATGTAGCCCACAAACACATTTGAGAGACCCTGCATGCCCGCCCTCTCCCATCTTGGAAGGTCCTGATACACATCAGCCAACAAAGGCTCTGATAAGTTCTGCGGAAGAAAAAAGCTTTGTTTTGGCTTAACCCAGCTTTCCCTGGACCCGCCCAACCACAGACTTCATAAGGCTTTGAGACAAAGGTCCTCCCATTGCAGACCCTAGACAGGGGCTGTGTTCAGAAGACGAATGGATTCTGAGATCCCAGGGTTTCCCTCCATTGCAGCCCATTTTGCCTAAGATCTCTTGAAAGAGGACTCCTGGCCCACAGCCCCCGGAGATGACAGGGTCAACAGGATAGGAGGACTGTAGAGACGCCCCTCCCAGGTCCTGGGTGGCCCCTGGCCTGGACCATGGCCCCTCTCCCCAGCACGCCATCCTGAACAAGTGGCAAAAGGAACAAACGGCAGCCCCCACCCGTGTGCATCTTGGTGACATTAAAAATTCATCCGGGCAGCATCAAATAAAGCGTTTTTATGAGTCATAGTAAAAAAAAAAAAAAAAAACACTCAAAGGACTAAAAATGTGTGTTTACGACTCCATAAAAGAAATTTACCTAATTCGCAAGCCGCTTTCCTGCCCTGCTTTGGCATGATGTATTTTCAAAACACTCAGACTAGCGGGCGTCAGGTGCGAAGTGGTTTTAAATGACAATAAAAAGGAATCCCGACATTTTATCTTAACCCGGCTGTGTTGGGGGGCACTCTCTGTTGACCTATCCCCAAAGCCCACCTCTAAGGAGGTCTGGGAGGGACTCTAGGATCCCTTCTTCCACAGCTAGGGACACGGAGGCCCAGGGGTGTCGGGCTTATGTGCGCCCCTGTGGGGACTGGAGCTGGGGACTCCTGACCCCCCACCTTAGGAAATGAGGCCCAGGCGGAGCTCAGCGGGGATCGAGTGCCCTAGGAGCATGGCTTACTCCTTAAGGACAGGCTCCCCTGTCCTTTCTCGCCCCCAGGATGACCGTCTACAGCGGGCGAACCAACGCCTCGGCCCTTCTCTACGACTCCCTCCGCACGGAGAGCGTCCCCTTCGAGGGTCTGCTGAGCCACGCCAACAGCATCCGCATCGAGTTCACGTCCCACCAGGGCCCCGCGGCCACCGCCTTCAACATCCGCTTTGAGGGTGAGCCTCCCTGGGGGCCTCCCCTTCTCCCGGGTGGTGGCCTGGGACCAGGGGAGGGCGCTGGGGCTGAGGATCTGGGAGGGAGAAGTCTGGACCCCGAGGCCAGCCTCCCCTTGGGTTCCCGGAGGCCGATCTGTCAATCATGCCGCAGACCCCGTGCTGACGCTGCCGTGCGTCCGTGCGCTTGTGCGTTTCCTGGGCCGTCCTGCCACACTGGGTGCACCCGGTATCACCTCTGCTTTAGATGAGGAAACCTAAACTCATCCAAGGAACTCGGGTGACTTTTCCCGAGGCCAGCACTCAGGGAGATTGCAGCTGAGATTTTCGTCCTTAAACATGGCTCTGTCCCACCCAGTGGACCTCTTAGAATCCAGCCACCGCCTCCTCCGGGAAGAGTTAGCAAGGGCTTCCGTCTGGCACCCGGCCCTGGGGCGCAGGATGCTCTGAGCCGCTCAGTGCCCGGCGGCCCCTTCCCACCCGGTGTCCCCCAACCGTGGTCTTGATCATGGGGCCCTTTTTATGGTCTCTGGTGGCAGAAATCAGGATGCAGATGTGACGGGCCCTGGGAAGGAGACTCTCGGGGCACAGGGAGGGACTCGTGGGACCCCAGAGTTTTTGCTTGCGTTTCACATTAACTCACCTGAGCTGCCCCCTTGTGCCCCTCCCAGCCTTCGAGAAGGGCCACTGCTACGAGCCCTACCTGCAGAACGGGAACTTCACCACGTCCGACCCCACCTACAACATCGGGACCGTGGTGGAGTTCAGCTGCGACCCTGGCCACTCCCTGGAGCAGGGGCCCGCCATCATCGAGTGCATCAATGTACGAGACCCCTACTGGAACGACACAGAGCCCCTGTGCAGAGGTGAGTGGGGCCCGGAGACCAAGGCTCAGAGGCATGGCCGCGTCTTTGCCAATTGTAGGATCGAAATCCTTTCCGGAGCCCATTGGCCTTTGGAGCTGGGTTGCTGCTAATCCTTGGGAAATTACAAAATGAATACATGGTTTGTAGAGTGCCCCTCCCTCCAGGCACAGGACCCACAGTGCCCGGTGTGCTGGGCACATTGCCACATGGATCTGAGCTCCCGCATACTCTCTCTGCTTGTGCAGTGCACAGCCCACCAACAGTACAGGGCAACCCAGAATCTCAATAATAATGATGATGATTGTCGGTGTGCAGCAGGCATGTCACAGGTGCTCTGCCGAGGGCTGCATGTGCACTATGATCCCATCCTCACTGCCACCCTGTAGACATGAGCAGCCCCATTTGCAGATATGAAATGTCATGGTCACGTGACATGCCTAAGAACGCAGGGTAATGGGCACAGACCTGAATGGGACTCAGGTCTCTCTGTTCTCAGAGACCCTGCTCTAGGCCCCTCTGGACACCATGGGCCTGCAGAGCCCTCCTCCACTGGCTCCCAGGGGCCCGCCCTCCCTAGCTCCCTGTGGCCAAGGTCACAAAGCCAGCCCCAGCCGGACTCCTGGCCGGTGGAGTAATGAAGGGCGGCCTCCCTCCCTCCTGGCAGCTGCCTGAGTGGCCGTGGGAGTAGAGTCACAGCCTCAGGGCGATGAGGGATGGTCCCCGTGTTAAACGTGCTGGTTCAGCAGAGCGGGCTGTATTGCTGCCCGGCCTCTGCTGGGCTCCGAGCCTCCCACCCTGGCAGACACCGAGGGGGTCTTAAAGGCTCCGGTCACCCCAGTCTGCTTCCAGCCGCTCAGAGCTGGGACCTCCCACAGCAGCGGGAACCACACAGCAGGCCCCCTCCCCTGGCTGCCCTGTGGCCTTGACCTTCCTGAGCTTCCTGAGCTCTGAAAAGGCTCTTCATAAGCTGAGGAGGCCAGCAATGGTGTCACCTCTGTTTTGTGGAGGCTGGCGTCAGAGATAAGACCAGAGCCCCAGGAGGGTGCTTAACCCCTGAGCCCCATCCCCAGCCCTGTTTATGTTTTATTTAGAGACAGGGTCTCACTGAGTTGCTTAGGGCCTCGCTGTGCCTGGGGCTGGCTTTGAACTCGCCATCCTCCTGCCTCAGCCTCCCGGGGCACTGGGATGGCAGGCTGCTCCACCTGGCCTGGGGGCTTAGGGGAGGAGCTATGATGCACCAGGGCCTTCGAGCTCTGTCCTTGGTGCTGAAGGAGCCCCTGCCCTGCTAGCTGATGCGCACCAGCCTCCAGCCAAGAGGAGGTGAAGGCAGCTGTCACTGTACCGCTCCACCCACGTGGGAGGACAGCCCAAGCCAGGCTGTGATGGTCCCTGGCTGTGTGACCTGCTAGCGCCCCCTGCAGCGCCCCACCGCGCTGGCTCCTCACACAATCTGTCTGTCTGTCTTCGCAGCCATGTGTGGTGGGGAGCTCTCGGCCATGGCTGGGGTGGTGCTGTCTCCAAACTGGCCAGAGCCCTACGCAGAGGGCGAAGACTGTGTCTGGAAGATCCACGTGGGGGAAGAGAAGCGCGTCTTCCTGGACATCCAGTTGTGAGTGTCACGGTGACGGGGGACCCATTCAGCCAAATGGGGGAGCTGGGGAGCGAGCGCTTTCAACCCATACTAACGAAGTATCTATCATGTGTCGGGGACTGTGCGAAGGACAGGCGACCCCATGGTGAGATTCCCCTGACGGGAACAGCAATGTGCGCATGCAGAGTCCCTGTCCCCAGGAAGGTCATGCTACCAAGGAAACAGATACTTTAAATGAACACAGGCACAAAAAAATTGCACACTGTGACCCTCATAAGCAACATAAGGAAAGGTTCTATGAGGGTCTATGTTGGGAGTTGATATAAAGATGAAGGTCAGAAAAAGCTTCCCCAGGGATGGGACAGGAAAACTCAGGCCTGAAGGATGAGTAGGAAGGGAACAGGCTGTGCAAAGGCCCTGTGGCAGGATCAGGCCTATTATGTTCAAAGGACTAAATGGTCCGTGTGGGCAGAGAGAGGAGGACACTGTACCACATGCTCAGTGTCCTTTAATTTCTAATGGCTGTGCTTTAATTTCCTGTGCATCTCCTTCCAGATCCTCTCTGTCAGGGGTCTGGTCTGACTTCTCTCTGTTTCTAGAGTCTAATGCAGAACTGGATATGTAATAGGTGCTCAGGAAACGATTGCTGAATAGAAGAGTGTTTAGTGAATGGGCTTATCTGACCTCAGGTCCACTTCCTAGACTCCATGGGGTGACCACTAGATGCTCCATCCAGAATGTTGTCCCCCTCCCTGCAGGGAGCCAGGAGACCCCTACCCTGTGCAAGACACAACTGGCAATGGCTCTAGAGATAGCTCTCCGTCTCACAAAGAATCCTGCCTGGAGGTGCCGAGCCCGTTGCTGGACCAGGCTCCTGAGCCCAGGGAGCCCCGAGCTAGCAAGGAGCAGAGCTGAGACCCAAGCTCTGGTGGGTTCTCGGCCCCGCGCTTTCCACTGCCCTGGGACAGACCCAGACGGCGGTGTCCACAGGAAGCCCAAGAGGAAGACCTCCCGACAGGCCAGGTGGGGGACGGCAGGGGCCCGGGGGCACTGTCTCGCAGAGCAGGACAGGAGGAGAGGACGACGGTGGGCAGATCGCTGTCGACTGTCTGGAAGCTGCTCTTGGAGGCAGTAGACGGGTCCCCGGGCCGTCCCTGGACCTCCGACTCCAGACGAGGCAAAGTCTCGCGAAGTTGACCCCCATGGACCTGGGGCGGGGCAACCCGGGGACGAATCCCCGTCCTTCACCTCCCACCTCAAGACCCTGGGCCTCTCCCTGCGCCTCTGTGCTTCCCGCCGTCGTGGGGACCTTGGGACCTCAGGGCTGCGGCTGCCAAAGCCCACGGCTCAAGTCCACCCCACCTCGTCCCCGGCCTCGAGGGTCTGGAATGGGACGCCCACCCACCCAGCTGAGGCATGTTCTCAGTGTCTGCTCAGAACCACCCCAATAGCAGGTGCCAAGAGGGTCCCCGCGGTTGTCCCTTCAGCAGGAAGGCTTCTGTTGAGCAGAGTGGGTTGGACTGTCTCTCTGGGCGTGAGGGGACTGGATGCTGGTGGCTGACAGGTCGACCTGACAGGTGGTGAGGGAAAGGAAATGTCCCCCAGATGCCAGAGACATCTGCAAAGGCCAGAAGTGAGAGAGGGTGTGGCCATTTAGTGACTCTGGAGGTTGGTGGCGGTTACAGAGAGAAAGCATCCAAGGAAAGCCCTGGGGTCTTCTTAGCGGAAGATCCAGATAGAAATCTAAAGCTGCTTTCTCTCAGGAGCCTGCTGTGGCTCCCTATTGCCCTCATGGTAACTATGAATTTATGGTTCTGGTTTATGAACTTCTCCTTGTCCTGGGAAGTTCCTGGGTGAGCCACCCAGGTCTTCAGACAGAAGAGCTCTACTCAGTTCCCAGGTTCTTAGATTTCCTTGAAGAGGATCCCACCCAGCCCCAGGCCCCAAGGAACTCTCGGAAGCCTGTCCTTTCTGCTTGGTTTGGCCACACTGTCCCGCAGGAGGCCTCCCAGATGCGTGGTTTTCCCTAAACCAGACTGACTCACGTGTCGGAGGCCTGAATGGGGAAACAGGAAAATGGGAATCCCGCCTTCAGCCCGGCTGGGCATCAGCTATTCAATTAACCTTCAGCTTGACCGCGGGTTGGGTTTATTTCCACTGCGCGCACACACACCATGGGGGGCCTTGAGCATTGCAGCCGGGGTCCTCTCCAAAGCCAGCCACAGGCCAGCTGCACCGACCTCTTGCAGACCTTCTCTCTGGATTATCTGGGCAACCCTGGACGTGAGCATCGGCTGGGAGAAAGCATCCCTAGCCCCCTCCCTCGATGTCCTGACCCCTCGTGTCCTCCGCAACTCGGGACCCGACCTGCACCCCTCAGGGCTCCAGATTCACCCACAGCACCCTGGCCAAGGTCTGGAGGCTCCCAGTCATGACTATTGTGAGATGCCCCCGGCTTCCAGGGGGTAGAGACCAGGGATGCTGCTCAGCATCCCGCAATGCACAGGACAGTCCCCACCACAAAAAATGAGCTGACCCAAAATGTCGACAAGTGCTGAAGTTGAGAAATCCTTGGATGTGCTGAGTCTTGCAGGACAGAGGCAAGATGAGCAAAGACAAAGGAGAACAGTGCTCCACCCTAAAATAGCATATGCTGTTCTTATATGTCCATGTTGTTGAACTTTGTTAAGCGATCGGTACATCCCAGGTGCTGAGTCCTCAGTACATCCCAGGTGCTGAGTGCTCAGTACATCCCAAATATCTTCACAACTGGCACATGCAGAAGATTCTGAAATCATCTCCATTTCACAGATGAGTAAACTGCAGCTCAGAGAGACTGAAGAGGTGACTGTGATCACATAGCTAGGAACTGGTTGGGCTTGGATTTGAACCCCCACTTTGGCCATGTCCCCAGGGCCTTAAAAGGAGCTGAAGGAAGCCCAGCATGTCTGGAACTCAGCGAGGCGTACTGAAGTAGGGCCTCCAGGAGGACGCTGGGATCAAGCAGGGACTTGAAGGCTGCACTAAGGAGTCCCACTTCCCCTAATTGGTCAGCAGGGAAGAGTTTCAAGCATGAAAGGGATCAACCCCATGCAGAAGGGACCCGGTCCTCGGGTCGCCAGCCCAAGGCTCTCTCTGGCCCATCTGCCCCCCCTCTTGGTGGGGGGCATCTGGACACGCTCCTCCTCCCTCCCACACAGGGAGCAAAATAGCAGCTCCCCGGCCAGGGCTCCGGCCGGGCTGCCGGGCTGACCTCTCCTGCTTGGCTCCTGCTGACAGTGTTAGTGAACCAACTGGATCTGAGAGTCATAATGATGCTGTCCTCGGGGACCTCCACACTCCTGAGCATCTGCAATTTTCATTTATCACATGGACGAGGGGCGGGGGAGAGTGAGCTTCAGACAGAGCCGGGGAGGGGCCCCTGTCGTGAGGATGCGCGTCACAGGGGACAGGGGACAGGGCCCAGGTGGCCCTCCTGGTCTCGACAGTGACTGTCAGAGCCTTACTTCAGTTATAATTAGTCACTATTTATCAAGGACCTACTATGTGCGAGGCCCCGAGGTGCACACTTTACGCCCATGAGCTGTGGTGAACATGAACATCCACCTGTAGAGGTGATGATTACATAATTAGAGCTGATGTGAGTGCAGCTAACTGCAGAGGGTGATTTCCCAAGTCAGAGATGGTGTCTGAGCAGCATGTCCTACCGTGTCCGGCAAGTTCTCGGCATGTCGTCTTTGAAGACTGAATATGGAGGACCCTTGAGTACGGCAGATATTATCTTTACCACTTTATGGGTTGGGCAATGATAGCACAGAGAGGTGAAGTGACTCCCGTGGGTCACACAGCTAGTAAAGGCAGCGCACACCGTGGCCCTTGCATTCAGATTGGACAGGCTGTCGGGGGCCTAGCACCCTGTTCCAGGGGTGATGCAGGAAGGTTCTGGGCCTGCAGGAATTCAGATTCAAAGTTCAGGAAGGGAGGTAAAGCCAGACACAGACCACCCAGGGGACATAGTCAGAGTGCTGTGGTTTGGACGGAAAGAGGCAGATTGTAGAAATGTCACAGAGAGGTTGACCTCCAGGAAGAATTGTGTGTGTGTGTGTGTGTGTGTGTGTGTGTGTGTGTGTGGTACCTGGGGAACTTGACCAGGAGCCCCATCCCCAGCCCTATTTTGCATTTTATTTAGAGACAGGGTCTCACTGAGTTGCTTAGTGCCTCACCATTGCTGAGACTGGCTTTGAACTCACGATCCTCCTGCCTCAGCCTCCCAAGCAGCTGGGGTGACAGGCGTGGGCCTCTATGCCTGGCTCCAGGAAGAATCTTGAAGAGTGTCAGTGGCCAATCTGAAAAGGGGATGGCGTTTCAGGAAGGGATCATAGGGGCCAAGGTCTGAAGCTTGAAAAGACTGACCCTTAGCGTGGGGCGGTGCCCTGAGTGGCAGCGTTTATTAGAATCACCTGCCTCCAATTAGTGTTGGAGGTGGGAAGGGGGTTCATGGTCTTGGATAAGCCAGAACCCCCCAGGATAGACCTCCTCACACCTCCCTACCCCATCACGGACCTCCCAGCTCCATCAGGAAGATGTCTGTTGCCCTAGAAGCCCAAATGGGACCCGAACCTTTCAAATACTGAAGGATTTCTTTTATAATTCATATTCTCTCTCTCTCTCTCTCTCTCTCTCTCTCTCTCTCTCTCTCTCTAACAAGGGAAGGAGAATAAGGAACTAGGGAATTATCAGTAAAAACATCACAGAATGGTGCATCACACAGCAAGTTAGAGTTAGGACCAGAAAGACAACCTGATGTGGCTGCAAAAGCTCAGCACAGGGGCCTGTCAGCGCAGGGGCCCCAAGCTTGGAGAAGCCACATGGCCAGGGAGACCAAGTTACTAGAGTCAAAAGAGCTGCATTTGAATCTTGATCCTGCTGCTCCCTGGCTTTGTGGCCTTGGGCAGGTTCTGCAGATGGAGCCGCTGCCCTCCTCCTAGTGGGATATTTTATCCAACTTACCCCGTGAC